CCCTGGCAAAGAATGCGAGGGGCAGTGCACTGCATGTTGGTGACTGCACAGACAAAGGAAAACCCAAAACTGAGAGAAGGGGTTCAAAGTACAGGCCTACCTGAAAAAGTGGAAGTGCTCCATCGTGAGGTTGACCTGAGAGAAACCTGTCATTTCCAGACGATCGTGTTGGGCCTTCTGTCACAGGATCTTGGTGAGATGGGTTTTCTCCCACTGTCAGATGACAGGTACATTGCACACATACAGAGACATCATACCTAGGCTCATAGTGCACCAGGGCTACTGGGTTGTGTAGAAGGCCCTGCTGAACAGACACCGTGGTACACTTTGCTATACAAAATACTGCCACAGGCATTACAATTACACTTTAAGTGTATTAAGGAGTTTTATGTGCACCAACGAAAGTGGCTAGCTGAAGATCCCCAACATTCATCCAGTTACAAAGAGATCTAAAGTTTACTGGTGCTCAATACAAGCACGCGCATGCGTTGTCAGCCCTCTATATTGCATGGTGTGTGGAGGGAATAGCTAATATAAACAACATGTTGGGTACAGTGTTTTCCTAATGGGGTCATGGTGTCGGTGGGATAGAAGGGGAGAAGTCTGACACAACAGAAGTCAATCTCTTCGTTCTCACCATCTGCTGCTGGACATCATGCCCAGAGGGCTATATTTAAGAAGAGGAGTTAAATCCACTTTGAGGTGTTGCCATTATTAAAGTGTTTGCCTCTGCTCTTGGTGTTTTAAATTCATGGTGTGGAATCCCCTGAAAGCAGCCCGAGAGATTAATAAGTGTGTTATATTTGCATTCCGTCACAGATTATTGAGTTGTTCTCTGTGATTCTCCTATCATATACGGTTTTAAAGTTTATTATTTCCCATAGAGGTTCTACAGTAAAAGCTGATCTCGGGTTTTAATTATTAAGTGTGAGCTTTTTCATTGGTCCTTGCACTTACGACTATTGCAGGTGTGCCAGTGTGGCTGAGACAGTTCTTGGGGTTGAAAGGAAGAGTGGCGGAGTGAACAAATTAAGCAGCCCCTTCGGGACGGTACCGCTACATTCATAATTCAGGCCAAAACTATAGTGAAAATTGGTGTTTATATTTGGAAAAGGACAAAATCAATCCCTGTAAGGTACAGTTTGAAGGACTTTATTACACGTGTTTTCAGCATCACTCATTAAAGGGGAGAACAGATGAACGGGTTTTTTTCTCAGACATTTCCACTAGATGCTATGGAATTAATTTGGTTATTTTCGGGATGTATATGCAAAGACTTTTATTTTCAATTTGATTAGCAGCCAGCTAACACCTGTAACTGATGATGCTGGGGTATTTAAGGGATGGCCAGACCCACAGACTCTGCCTTGGTGTTGTGTTTGTCCTGGGCCCTGTATCTGTCCTGCATCCTGTTTCTGTTCCATTTGCTGACTTCTCCTGCTCTGATCCTGGCTTTGTGACCCTGACCATCCCTCTGTCTGACCCTCTGTACTACGCTGCTTGCTACCTGTTCTGATCCCTGCTTGTGACCCGGACCATCCCTCTGCCTGACCCTCTGTACTATGCTGCTTGCTACCTGCTGAACCTGGCCTGTGACCCCGACCATTCTCCGCTTGCTCCCCCCTGTACCTACCTGCCCAATTGATATTGACCCGGCCTGCCTGACGACGCTTGCTTGTATATACTGTTATCTGTGGGTGGTTGGTTTGGTTTGTTTGCACTGTATTATGTTTTAGTATTGCACTGCGTTTATGTTTGTACTGTTAGTGTTAATAAATTATATTGTTTATAACATATCTGAGGTCTGCGTTTCCCTGCTTCAGTCACACACCTCTGGTCATACCTGGGAGCCCTGACATTACACCAAGGCCAATCCTGACCAGAAGTGGCTGCACAGGGAAGCCATCTTGGCTTGTTGATGGGAAGGATGGATCTTGGACGAGGTTGAGTATTTATATCTGCTAGTGTTTGATGACAGGGAGTATGCTTATCAAACTCTGAAGGAGTATACCCGGGATGAATTGCTAGAATGTATACGGCTCGCTCATGTTCTAGTAGATCAGGGCACAGTGTTCTCTGAGGTGCAGCCATTGATTGAGGTTTGTGCAGAGTTGGTTTCATCTGGTTCCCCCGAATGCAGGGATGAATTTTTGCCACCATTTAGTGCAGACCAGGTAGAGTCCCTGGTGTGGTTATTAGAGGATGATGTGGGTTACTTTCTGGAGCGTTATTCCACATGTTCACCACAGACACTGAGAGATTGTATATAAACGCAGTGCAGTCATTGACCAGACAGACTTTGTGTAAGCTCAGCTTTGTTCAACCCATACTGCAGACATGGACAGATTTGTTGCACCCAGCCTCAGTCAGCTTACAAAGACCCAGTCCTGCTTCTAACTCTACTCCTGTATTCCCACCAGCTCCTCCAGTTACAGCCCAGTATACTTGGCTATCTACCGCATGTCAGTACCCTGTTCCCACTCGCTGCACCTATCCTGCCTTTAACCCTGTAAAAAAGCCCTCTGTAGCAAACTGCTCCCTCTCCTGTTCCATCCTCCAGTTCTTCTCTGTCTCCAGCTGCTCCATTCGTTTGCAGACCTGCGTTTACTTGCAGTGCTCCAGTAGTTAAAACCAGAAAAAAGCGAAAATTCTTTCCAACCAATACCATCCTGCCAGTATCCAAACCGGTGAGCCTGCCTTCCGTGGTTCAGACTGATGCCTGTACGCAGCCTGATGCCTCTATCACGGCCTGAAGCCTCTACGCGGCCTGAAGCCTCTACTCGGCCTGAAGCCTCTACTCGGCCTGAAGCCTCTCCTCGGCCTGAAGCCTCTACTCGGCCTGATGCCTCTACTCGGCCTGAAGCCTCTACTCGGCCTGAAGCCTCTACTCGGCCTGAAGCCTGTCTACGCGGCCTGAAGCCTCTACTCGGCCTGAAGCCTCTACTCGGCCTGAAGCCTCTCCTCGGCCTGAAGCCTCTCCTCGGCCTGAAGCCTCTACTCGGCCTGATGCCTCTACTCGGGCCTGATGCCTCTACTCGGCCTGAAGCCTCTACTCGGCCTGAAGCCTCTACTCGGCCTGAAGCCTCTACGCGGCCTGAAGCCTCTCCTCAGCCTGAAGCCTCTACGCGGCCTGAAGCCTCTACTCGGCCTGATGCCCTCTACTCGGCCTGATGCCTCTCTTCAGCCTGAAGCCTCTACTCGGCCTGATGCCTCTACTCGGCCTGATGCCTCTACTCGGCCTGATGCCTCTACTCGGCCTGAAGCCTCTACTCGGCCTAATGCCTCTACCCAGCATGATGAACTGATCCAGCCTGACGATCCTATTAGGCCAGTTGACTCGATGCCCGCTGTTGATCCAGATGATCCGGTACCTGATCCGGTGCCCGCTGTCGTGCCAATTGACTCAGAGCCCGCTGTCGTACCTGGTGACTCGGTGCCCACTGCCTTGCCAGATGACGCGGTGCCCGCTGGCAAGCCAAATGACCTGATGCCTGGTAACCTAGTGTCCGCTGTCATACCTGATGACCCGATGCCCGCTGTCGAGCCAGACAATCCGGTACCTGATGACCCGGTGCCCACTGTCGTGCCTGTTAACTCGGAGACCACTGCCTTGCCAGATGACGCGGTGCCCGCTGTCGAGCCAAATGACCTGATGCCTGGTGACCCGATGCCCGCTGTCCAGCCAGACGATTCAATGTCTGCCCCGGTGCCCGCGGTCATGCCAGTTGACTCGGAGCCCACTGCCTTGCCAGATGACGCGGTGCTCGCTGTCGAGCCAAATGACTTGATGCCTGGTGACCCGATGCCCGCTGTCCAGTCAGACGATCCAATGTCTGACCCAGTGCCCACGGTCATACCAGTTGACTCGGAGCCCACTGCCTTGCCAGATGACGCGATGCCCGCGGTCGAGCCAAATGACCTGATGCCTGGTGACCCGATGCCCGCTGTCCGGTCAGACGATCCAATGTCTGACCCAGTGCCGGCGGTCATACCAGTTGACTCGGAGCCCACTGTCGTGCCTGGTGTCTCGGTGCCCGCCGCTCCGCCTGGGGGCCCGAGACCTGTTGCTCCGCTTGGGGGTCCAGCGCCCGCCGCTCCGCCTGGGGATCCGGCGCCCCTGCCGCCCCGCCTGGGGGCCCGAGACCTGTCGCTCCGCCTGAGGGCCCGAGACCTGTCGCTCCGCCTGGGGGTCCGGCACCTGCCACTCCGCTTGAGGGCCCGAGACCTGTCGCTCCTCCTGGGGGTCCGGCGCCCGCCGCTCCGCCTGAGGGCCCGAGACCTGTCGCTCCGCCTGGGGGTCCGGCGCCCGCCGCTCCGCCTGGGGGTCCGGCGCCCGCCGCCGCTCCGCCTGGGGGCACGATGCCTGTCGCCCCGCCTGGGGGCCCGATGCCTGTCGCCCCACCTGGGGGCCCGATGCCTGTCGCCCCGCCTGGGGGCCCGATGCCTGTCGCCCCGCCTGGGGGCCCGATGCCTGTCGCCCCGCCTGGGGGCCCGGTGCCTGTCGCCCCGCCTGGGGGCCCGGTGCCTGTCGCCCCGCCTGGGGGCCCGGTGCCTGCCGCTCCCGCCTGGGGGCCCCGGTGCCTGCCGCTCCGCCCGGGGGCCCGGTGCCTGCCGCTCCGCCCGGGGGCCCGGTGCCTGCCGCTCCGCCGCCCGGGGGCCCGGTGCCCTGCCGCCCCGCCCGGGGGCCCGGAGCCTGCCGCCCCGCCCGGTGGCCCGCTGCCTGCTGCTTCCTGGTAATCCGATGTGCCTCTGCCCGGAGTCCTGCCCGATGTGCCTCTGCCCGGAATCCTGCCTGATGTGCCTCTGCCCGGAATCCTGCCTGATGTGCCTCTGCCTGGAGTCCTGCCCGATGTGCCTCTGCCTGGAGTCCTGCCCGATGTGCCTCTGCCCGGTGTGCCTCTGCCCGGAGTCCTGCCCGATGTGCCTCTGCCCTGAGTCCTGCCCGGTGTGCCTCTGCCCGATGTGCCTCTGCCCGGAGTCCTGCCTGGTGTGCCTCTGCCTGGTGTGCTTCTGCCTGGTGTGCCTCTGCTCGATGTGCCTCTGCCTGGAGTCCTGCCCGATGTGCCTCTGCCCGGTGTGCCTCTGCCCGGAGTCCTGCCCGATGTGCCTCTGCCCGGAGTCCTGCCCGATGTGCCTCTGCCTGGTGTGCCTCTGCCCGGTGTGCCTCTGCTCGATGTGCCTCTGCCCGGAGTCCAGCCCGGTGTGCCGCTGCCCGGAGTCCTGCCCGGTGTGCCAGTCTTTGATGTCCCGCCAGTTGCCAGACCCGGGCGGTGGAACATTTTGCCCAGCTAGGACTGTTTGGAGCGTCCTGAGGCCGCTCCTTGAGGGGGGGGTACTGTTAGGAATGGACTGGCCAGCAATGGTGGGACTCACCTGCCTTTTGATCTGCAGTACCAGGGCTGGCCAGCGGGTGCTCCCAGCAATCAGAGACTCAACTTTGCAGCCAGCTAACACCTGTAACTGATGATGCTGGGGTATTTAAGGGATGGCCAGACCCACAGACTCTGCCTTGGTGTTGTGTTTGTCCTGGGCCCTGTATCTGTCCTGCATCCTGTTTCTGTTCTTTTGCTGACTTCTCCTGCTCTGATCCTGGCTTGTGACCCTGACCATCCCTCTGTCTGACCCTCTGTACTACGCTGCTTGCTACCTGTTCTGATCCCTGGCTTGTGACCCGGACCATCCCTCTGCCTGACCCTCTGTACTATGCTGCTTGCTACCTGCTGAACCTGGCCTGTGACCCCGACCATTCTCCGCTTGCTCCCCCTGTACCTACCTGCCCAATTGATATTGACCCGGCCTGCCTGACGACGCTTGCTTGTATATACTGTTATCTGTGGGTGGTTGGTTTGGTTTGGTTGCACTGTATTATGTTTTAGTATTGCACTGCGTTTATGTTTGTACTGTTAGTGTTAATAAATTATATTGTTTATAAACATATCTGAGGTCTGCGTTTCCCTGCTTCAGTCACACACCCTCTGGTCATACCTGGGAGCCCTGACAGACACATATACAACTTACCCAAATCTTCATGGAGTGTGTAAAACACTGTACATATCTACTGGTGAACTCGAAAAATTAGAATATCGTGCAAAAGTTCATTTATTTCAGTAATGCAACTTAAAAGGAGAAGCAAGATAGTTCAAGCCGTGATTTGTCATAATTGTGATGATTATGGCTTACAGCTCATGAAAACCCCAAATCCACAATCTCAGAAAATGAGAATATTGTGAAAAGGTGCAATATCCTAGGCTCAAAGTGTCCCACTCTAATCAGCTAATTAAGCCATAACACCTGCAAAGGGTTCCTGAGCCTTTAAATGGTCTCTCAGTCTGGTTCAGTAGGAATCACAATCATGGGAAGGACTGCTGACCTGACAGTTGTGCAGAAAGCCATCATTGACACCCTCCATAAGGAGGGAAATCCTCAAAAGGTAATTGCAAAAGACGTTGGATGTTCCCAAAGTGCTGTATCAAAGCACATTAATAGAAAGTTATGTGGAAGGGAAAAGTGTGGAAGAAAAAGGTGCACAAGCAGCAGGGATGACTGCAGCCTGGAGAGGATTGTCAGGAAAAAGCCATTCAAAAGTGTTGGGGACTTTCACAAGGAGAGGACTGAGGCTGGAGTCAGTGCATCAAGATCCACCACACACAGACGGATCCTGGACATGGGCTTCAAATGTCGTATACCTCTTGTCAAGCCGCTCCTGAACAACAAACAACGTCAGAAGCGTCTTACCTGGGCTAAAGAAAAACAGACCTGGTCTGTTGTTCAGTGGTCCAAAGTCCTCTTTTCTGATGAGAGCAACTTTTGCATCTGATTTGGAAACCAAGGACCTAGAGTATGGAGGAAGAATGGAGAGGCACACACTGCAAGATGCTTGAAGTCCAGTGTGAAGTTTCCACAGTCTGTGTTGATTTGGGGAGCCATATCATCTGCTGGTGTTGGTCCACTGTGCTTCATTAAGGCCAGGGTCAACGCAGCCGTCTACCAGGAGATTTTGGAGCACTTCATGCTTCCTTCCGCAGACGAGCTTTATGGGGATGCCCACATTTTCCAGCAGGACTTGGCACCTGCCCACACTGACAAAAGCACCAAAACCTGGTTCAAGAACCGTGGGATTACTGTGCTTGATTGGCCAGCAAACTCGCCTGACCTGAACCTCATAGAGAATCTATGGGGCATTGCCAAGAGAAAGATGAGAGACATGAGACCGAACAACGCAGAAGAGCTGAAGGCCGCTATTGAAGCATCCTGGTCTTCCATAACACCTCAGCAGCGCCACAGGCTGATAGCTTCCATGCCATGCCGCATCGAGGCAGTAATTGCTGTAAAAGGGGCCAAACCAAGTAGGGGACATCGGAGGGGACATCTACACTGATCATCAGAGCACAGATGATCAGTGTGCCCTGATGATCAGTGTAACCCCAGCAGTGCCAGCTGTCAGTGCTCATCAGTGCCATGTGCCAGTGCCCATCAGTGCCACGTGCCAGTGCCCATCAGCGCCACATTGATGCCACATATCAGTGCCTACCAGTGCACATCAATGCCACATATCAGTGCCCATCTGAGCTGCATTTCAGTATCACACATCAGTGCCAGTCAGTGCCACCTATCAATGCCAATCAGTGCCACCTATCAGTGCTGCCAATCAGTGCCACCTATCAGTGCCAGTCAGTGCCGCCCATCAGTGCCGCCTATCAGTGCCCGTCAGTGCCACTTATCAGTGACAGTCAGTGCCGCCTAACAGTGCCAGTCAGTGCCACCTAACAGTGCCAGTCAATGACGCCTATCAGTGCCAGTCAGTGCCACCTATCAGTGCCATATATCAGTGCAGCCTTTCAGTGCTCTTCAGTGATGGCTGTCAATGCCCATCAGTGCCACTTACCAGTGCCTCCTCATCAATGCCCATCAGTGCCACCTATAAGTGTCCATCAGTGCAGCCTATCAGTGCCCATCACTGCAGTCCTCATTAGCGTACATCAGTGAAGGAGAAAAATCACTTATTTACAAAATTTTATAACAAAATCTAAGAAAAAAACGTTTTTCAAAATTTTCAGTGGTTTTTGGTTTCTTTAAGAAAAAATAAAAAACCCAGAGTTGATTAAATACCACCAAAATAAAGCTCTATCTGTCTCAAAAAAATTATAAAAATTTCATATGGGTACAGTGTTGCATGACCGCGCAATTGTCATTTAAAGTGTGAATGCTGAAAGCTGGAAATTGGCCTGGGCAGGAAGGGGGTATAAGTGCCCTGTAGGCTTGTGGTTAAAAAGGGGTCAAAATCTTTACCAAGTAATTATAGACCTGTTAGTTTAACTTCTATAGTTGGGAAGATACTGGAGAGTTTAACAAAAGACCACATAGATGAGTTCTTGCTGAAAAAAATAAATATTTTAGGCAACAGACAGCATGGATTCATGAAAGACAGAAGTTATCAAACAAATCTGATTTCTTTTTATGAGGAGCTGAGCAAAGCCTTGGACAGAGAGGTGGCGGTGGACGTAGTATACTTGGATTTTGCAAAAACGTTTGACTGAGTTCCCCACCCACGGCTAATGTGTAAAGTTAAGTCTATGGGCTTGGAAAAATCTGTATGTAAATGGATAGAAAACTGGATAAAAGATAGTATTCAGAGAGTAGTGGTTAATGATTCATACTCTGAATGGTCTAGGGTTGTCAGTGGTGTACCCCAAGGTTCAGTGTTGGGACCCTTACTTTTAATATATATTATAAACGATATAGAGTCTGAGATTAAAAATCCCATTTCAGTCTTTGCAGATGACACCAAGCTGTGCAGTGGAATAATGTCCTTACAGGATGTCTCCAATTTACAAGCCGACCTCAATGCACTGTTTAATTGGGCAACTATGTGGCAAATGAGGTTTAATGTTGATAAATGCAAGGTTATGCACTTGGGGGCTAAGAATATGCATCCATCATACATACTAGGGGGGTACAACTGGGGGAATCAATGGTGGAGAAGGATCTGGGAGTTCTGGTAGATCACAAGCTTAATAACGGCATGCAATGCCAAGCTGCGGCTTCTAAAGCGAGCAAAATCCTCTCTTGTATTAAAAGAGATATAGACTCCAGGGAGAGAGAGATATCATTCTACCCTGGTACAAATCATTAGTTATACCTCATCTGGAATATGCAGTTCAGTTTTTGGGCATCAATTCACAAAAAGAACATTGGGAAACTGGAGAAAGTACAGAGGACAATAAATTAATCAGTATTCGGCATCCCAAATTATAAATATTGCACAAAATATGTAAACCAAACTTGTGTAAAATTCAAATAGTCCAAAAAAGTCACACTTTCACCCTTGAAAGTGAATAATATTATAAAAACCTTTTTTGTGTCAGTCAATGCGTATAACAAAATAAAGTCCAAAATAAAATTAATCCGCTGCGTCCAACTTCAATATTCCCATAAATCCAAATCAGGTGAGTACCTTGAAATAAAATAAAACTAAATAGTGTATTACCTCAATAAAAATTGGTATATACTTTAACAACCAATAAGTATATACTTATAACAAATACGTGCAAAAACAAACCAAGATTCAAAACGTGAGTAACATGTGAATCGTGAGATCACTCTGTGTACACTATAAATAAATAAATATAGATAAATGTGACAAACAGTGTACACTCATAAACCAAAAAATTAAATAAATAAATCAACTAAAATCAAAATAAAATTAAATAAATAAAATAATAAATGAATCAAAAATGGTGAACACTCCGTGAACACTTCTATAGGGCAACAATGCATACAATTACCCTCACAAGAGTAATTTCAAGCCTTAACAAAGAACACTCAGGTGTTGTAGTCACTTCTCAGACTCCTATTCCAGAATGCTGCGAATCGGGTTCCAATACTTAAGGAAAGCCCTTATGACTCCTTCATCCTCCCAACAGGAAAGCTTCATGTTTCAATATCTCAACAATAGACAGTCGATCCCCATCAGTCCTTGAAAGTTTAGACTTGTCAGGGTCATTCGTCTCTCAACACCAGTAGGGGGAAACCGAGTGACTAGTTGTGAAGAGATAGCGATAACTCCAATCTTAGTTGAATACTACAGTCAGTGACTCAGTCGGTTGATATCTTGTAGATCTTGTGAAGTTTATTCCATAAACGGAGAGAATCTTACAACAATGAACATCTGATAAGTCAAAAGATCATAATGTGACCTGCTTCATGACATGAGGCTAGAAGCTGCAATGCATTTCTTTGAATCTTGGTTTGTTTTTGCACGTATTTATTATAAGTATATACTTATTGGTTGTTAAAGTATATACCGATTTTTATTGAGGAAATCCACTATTTAGTTTTATTTTATTTCGAGGTACTCACCTGATCTGGATTTATGGGAATGTTGAAGTTGGACACAGAGGATTAATTTTATTTTGGACTTTATTTTGTTATACGCATTGACTGACACAAAAAAAGGTTTTTATAATACAGAGAAGGATAACCAAACTGATAAGAGGCATGGAGGAGATCAGCTATGAGAAAAGATTAGAAGAACAGAATTTATTCTCTCTTGAGAAGAGGAGATTAAGGGGGGATATGATCAACATGTATAAATACATCAGTGGTTCATATAGTGAACTCGGTGTAGAGCTATTCACCCTGAGGTCATCACAGAGGACAAGGGGGCACTCTTTACGTCTGGAGGAAAAGAGATTTAATCTCCAAATACGGAAAGGTTTCTTCACAGTGAGAGCTGTGAAAATGTGGAATAGACTCCCTTAAGAGTTGGTTCTGGCCAGCTCAGTGGATTGCTTTAAAAAAGGCCTGGATTCTTTCCTAGATACACAGAATATAACTGGATACTAACATTTATAGGTAAAGTTGATCCAGGGAATATCCGATTGCCTCTCGGGGGATCAGGAAGGTTTTTGTTTCCCTTCAGGAGCAAATTGGATCATGCTTTGCTGGTTTTTTTTTTTTTCCTTCCTCTGGATCAACTGTGGGCAGGGGTGGACTGACAACTCATGGGGCCCCCCGGGCAATAGGGGATCATGGGGCCCCTGTGTCCTTGCCCAAACTCAAAAAAGTCTATGAAAAAGGTACCAGAGGCATCTCATAGGGCCCCCTACTGACCCCGGGCCCTCGTGCAGTGCCCAAGTTTCCAAATGGTCAGTCCACCCCTGACTGTGGGTATAGGATTATAACATTTTTTTTTTTTAATGGTTGAACTGGATGTCTTTTTTTCAGCCAGACTAATTATGTAACTATAAATGTATAAATGTAGCTGTTCCTAGTAGAGAAACCTCCTCCATCCTCCTATCGTTATGTGTCATGGCTTTCACTATATAGTGTAGCAGAGCATATTCCAGAAGGCAAACATTGGCATCTGTGTCAGGTTTTTAATCTCCTGACAGCCAGTCTGACAACAGACCAGCTGCCATTTCTTTCTAGGGTATGCTGCCAGTATCTTGTGACAATGGGTGAGCAACACCGGAGCCCTGCACATCTCAGACCAGTGTTTTTCAACTATGGTTCTGTGGAACCAGAAGGTTCCTTCAGAGGTTACTAGGGGTTCCTTGAGCAATGAGCAATTTCTGCCTCTCAGATAAGTTCCCACTGACACTATTAATCTTTTTTGCAGTCTGTAGCCCTGGACCGGCTATAGGGCACAATGGTCATTTGCCAGGGCCTCTGGGACACATGTCCTAACAAAATCTCCAATGTTAGTCTCTCCCAACCATGGCATCACTCCTCTCCCTTCCCCCATCCTCTTCCAACTCTGGGGGGGCCTGCCGAGCGAGCCCCAATCAGCACCGGAAGCAGTTGTCCGGTGACAGCTGCAAGGGCCCCCCCCCCAACATTACAGAGCAGGCTCTGGCAGGAAAGAGCAGGAGTGATGGCGGAGTGGGAGATGGAAGAATCCAGGTACAAGGACATTGTCTCCCTGACGAGCGCAGCCTTCCCCAGCACGGTCTGAGAACAGCAGGCATGGAGCTCCTGTCCACCGGGGAACGTCTTCACTGTGGACAGTATCAGGAAGAAGACATCCTGCAAAGTAAGTCAATGGGACTTCATTACTTCCCCTGACTTCTGAGTAAGAGTCCGTGTTACAGATCATCCCTATGAGTAGGCTGATTACTCACCCCTTAGACCTTTTTATTTAAACGATGATCACTTGATCCCTTTTCTTCTTATATAGTAAAAATGCTAACTAGATCTCTTGGATTCTTGACTTCAATCTAGCTTCTTACTTATGAGAGATCGTAAGGTAGATCCCTTCTTATATAGAAATGATAATCACATGATCCCCTGGTGTTTTATATACAAGATGTTTAGTAGATCCCCTGGCTTCTTATATACAAGAGAAGGTTACCTGATCCCTTGGCTTATTAATTGTTAATTGTTTTAAAAAAATGGGCTGCTCAATCTAAAACGCTCGGACCTAGTCCCAGTCTGGTCCTATCTATCTGTAAGGCGGTATTTCTTCCCAATGACCACAAGTGTAAGGAGCAATCTTCCCACTGATCATCACACTAATGTATCCTGAGCTGTAGATTTAGTACATTTTAGATGGGGTTCCTTGACACCAGAAAGTTATTTCAAAGGTTCCTCTATATTGAAAAGGTTGAGAAAGCCTGGTCCAGACACAGAGAAGATGGTTTTGTGCTGGGGAGTATTTTTATTCCCTTTTGAAGGTGGCTGCTCTGTTTCCCAATCCCAATGGCTGAAAGTATATCTCTTTTTAATGTCCTTGAATCCAAGCCTATGAAAAATGTAAAACTGGCTTAACATCAGCTTCCAAAAAAACATCTTCCATAGTTTTCAGTCTCATAACTGCATGGTAGAAAAGGCTGCAGCCCTAAGCAGAAGCACTGTCAAAAAAAGCAATGAATGTTTAA